CATTAGATTATGGCTGCGCATTTATTCACACGCAACAAGGGCTGGAAATGGTTTTGGGTCTGATTGGATTACGTTGGCATGCCCCCCAGGTTCTCGATCTGCATGGTTCTGGTATGCAATTGGGACGATCCGTCAAGTGCTGATGTGGATCATATTTGGACTTTTTGTTTACTTTCACCGCTTTATTTTTAACAAGAGATGATTGGGCTATGCCGACATCTACCATTTTGCTCAACTCACACCACACTCTTCCGCGGTATACGCAGTGTCTTTGTCCATGGTCTGGCGCTTGTCTGGCGTTATGGCGTATGGTTGATGATAGATGATACGATGGACGTGGATCAAATACAGCTTGTATATAGTCTTTTGTAAAGACAGACACCCTACTCCGCTCATCAACTGGCTGAGATGCTAGTGAGCTTCCATGATGCCGATTATGCGCTTCGGCGGTAATGGTTGACTGCAATACAATCCACGCTCGACATTTCATCTCTCTCAAGGATTTGAAGGTTGGGTGTGTTCTACGAGATCTAGTATCTTCTTCGCTTTTGCCACACAATTGTTGCTCCCACACTTGATGCAACTGCATTGCTCCGCCCGGATTCCATAACTTCCATACCCTCCATATGTATGCCTCTTAGATCTGCTCAAACCCCGTCCTTGGAATCTTCTTCAAACACCACCTTGCTCCTAACGAGTGCCTCCACCTTCTGAATGCCGTCGGTAATCGAGGGAATATTGCCGCTCTGCCACAGCCTATCGGTGAATGTGACTTCGCCTTTGCATTTGAATACGATAGACTCGTCACAGCTGTCAGGTATCCACCCAAGAAGCTGCGTGATTGAATCATCGTTTAGAGGACTCCAACTGACTCCACGGCAATTGATCACAACGTTGACGTATCGCAAGTTCGAAAGTCCGCGGCTCCCCTTGGAGATCTTTGACAGAGTTTCCCAGTCGGTAAAGGAACCCATCAGAACGTCTACCACAATCTTCCGCATTGACTCATGGGCGATTGGAAACAGAGGAAGGCCACGATGGCTCAACATTCGTTTGAGCCGTATGCGGAAGGTGTTCTGGCCGTAGAATATTTCCTTTGCAAGACCGGCGATCTCGGGAGATATACGAAGATGGTGGTCGAGGGCTTGAAGATTTTTTGTCTCGCATCGGTCGATCGTTTCGGGAAAGGACAAATTGTAGCTTAGTATTTGGACCTTGAGTTCTGTCGGAAGCTTGTTCCAGCCAGTAGCGAAAGCAAAGTCAAGCGGCAGTGATGGTACGAGCCATGTATCGTGGTGAGGTCGGAGATATACCGCGTTGGTGCAGGTCAATTGTGTGACGCTCTTGATGATGGTACTAGCACTGACTACATGTAATGCCGAGGGCGCGGTGACCCAAAGCCATGATCCCGCAGGCATTTGAAGCGGCGTGCGAATGCAGAGAGGCGAGTCTTGGGACAGACCAAGCGCAGCCGTACATGAGGCAGATGGAGGTGAGCGATTTGGCGGCGCTGTAGTTCCGAAAGCGTGGGTACGCGATGGTGTTTGACTGGTATGGAAGTAAAGCACATCCATGGCTTGTATTTTCGAGAGGCAAGTAGAAGCTGACGGGGTAGTTTGGGAGTATGCCCAGATGTGGTGGATTGCTGGGATTGTAAGGAACTGAGGTGGTCTAGCCTGCTAACAGCGAAAAAGCAGATGTGTAAGGATTAGGCGCCTTGAAAGTGATCAGGCAGTAGCGTATAGAGGGAATCACAATTCGGGCTTCAATTGCACGAACACAATCTTCACTCCGAAGCCCGCAGAATCGCGAAATATCTCTCACACGCCACCATCAGGGAATTTGTTTACCCCATCGTGTAGGTGAAAGCTTTTTTTCGAATAAAAGAATAGATTTGCATTGAAGCCTTCACTCATTACAGTTTTGAGGCGCGAGGCCTCGAATGGACTTAATTCGAGCGCCTAGAATTCACAAGCTGTATGTCAAGAGCCGTGTGAACTACGATTCAATATGAACAACATACAAATGCGCTGTGAATTGTACTACAATCATTGTGAGTGGTCAGCTTCACAGCGAGTAGATACCAATATAAGTCCGAGTTTTATACCAAGATGGAGTTATACATCTAACCTCAGCCGTTGTTCTTCAGGCTCATCGCGCCTTTCAGAGACAACCTAAAAGCAATCGTATCTTCGCAGTACTCCTTGAGAACAAGGTGCAAATACTGCAAGAGCCATGTCCGCCCCAACCCCAGAGACAACCTCAATGCATGCACAAGGAAAGACTTCAGGGCAAGATGAGGAATTTGAAGAAGTGATAGAAATCAACTGGCCCATGACTATACCCAGACAAGCTAGTTTCGCCGTTTACTCGTCCCAGCCGTTAAACATATCGGCACCCTGCTCGATGCAAATACACGCGCTTACACCGATCCATATCCAATCCGACAGCAAACTTACGGTTTCGCCGGCTGGCCCTGCAACACCAGGATTTGCAAGGGGCTGGAGCAAGTTACCGACTGAACTGAAACTCGAGATACTTCGTTACAACCTCCTGTATCCCTCCCCACTATGGCCAGCAAACATCAACACCGTCATACGCAGGGAGCTGTTCCCGTACCTGAGGATGACACCAGACATCGCTGAGATGGCCAAATCTGTATTCTACGAAGAGAACAAGTTCGTCATGCAGTTCACCAACTCGCTACATTTTCCAAACTCGATATTGGCTAAGCCTCCCATGAGTATACGGCCTCAGCTCCGTCATATCACTTTCCAGACTCGTCTGTGTGAATTCGACTGGCAAATACTACGAGCAATGTCGGGAAAAGATCGTGCTGGTTTCACGGGATTGATTCATCTCAAAGTGAGATATTTGTCAGGTGAGGATGCAGCAATCCTCGAACTTGCTAAAAATGACTTTCTACGGGGGCCCATGTCTTTCGACGAGTGCTATTTATTGCGCCGAGGAGAACCCGTGCATCTGCCGTTTGACGGCGTAGTCACGTTTGATCGATCGGGGTTTGTGGGGCGTCGAAACCCTGAGGAGGATGAAGCGCAATGGGAATTGACGCGTCGCGTCGAAGGGTTTGTGACGAGGGATATTACTTTCACTAAATAACAAGCGTGAAATGTAGTGTACACTACTGAAATTGGATTGATTCATGATAAGCGTGCACGACACCTGTATTGAGTTAGATGACTGCGGCTCCGGCGATGCCTGACGGGGACCTCGGAAAGGTGACGATGTGTGACGTCATCACCCGATTATCTAATCGCCAGCCCCCTTCACACCCCCGCTACTGCTGGCGAAGGACTAGCTGAACCCAAATTCACTCCAAGCTCTAGATATTAAAAAAAACTTGAGACCACGTTGTACATAGTTGGTCAAGCGATCAAACAGCATCGCGAGAAACAGCACCCAAAATGGTGCTTGGTACCTAAGCACATCAGACATAGGTAGGTAATGATTGGCGTTGGCTAGGAGCTAATACCAATGGTAGGATAGCGATTTGGGTAAAACAAATACAGTAACGAAATACATCTTGCAGCAAACGAAGTGCAGACCGCAATGGTAATGCAATTGGTAAAAGCGCAAGCCAAGATTCGTGCACTTCGCGCTCTCCAAACATACTACGTACTAACCATACCAAGTGACAACTCTACTATTTCCGGAGCATGCGCTGCAACGTCTCTTGGATGATTTTCGCGCAAGAACCACCACAAATACCCGATCCGTCGCCACCCGAGCATTCCATACCTCGGACCTCAACCACAATCTTTTTCGCATCGACGTTGCAGGATGTACCTCGGAGCCCCTTTCTAGCATCTTTGCGGCGCTGTTTGAGTGTAAGTCCACACCAACGCCTGGATGAATAAGGACCCCTAGCCATGAAGCAAGTCTCGTCTTTACCATCATTTTCAAGAGTGACGATGATCTTGAGCAACTGGGGGTGGAAGTACTGCTGCCAGCGCACGGGATCTGAGGCAGGGGTACCCTCGGGGATACGGGTGTCATCAGACGTGCATTTACCCAAAGTCAACGGGATCTGGGACGGCTTCCATCTGTTGGGGACTAGGAACAGCCAGTCGCCATCTAGCTTGAAGATATCTTGAAGGTACCGAGGGTCGCCATTGTAGCGCTCCGGCTGAAATCGCAGATCTAAAGTCAATTTACGCACCAGTGAGGCGGTTGGCGGACTTGGATACATGAAGTTATACATCGCTCTCCGAGGATTGAAGAGTAGCGTGTTCGTTTTCGATAGCCCGATGACAAATTCATTCTCCTTCCAGTAGACATCCATAGCTAGGTCGTATAGCCGTTTGTTGATGCTAGCAAGTCGAATGAGACGAACCATGTACACTGAGTGCATTAGGGCCGTGATGGGTTTGTCAAATACAAGACAATATCCAAGAATTTGCATCAACAGCTCATTGGATAAGGCTAGAAATTGCGACGGGACGATATTGGTTTGCGTCATTTCCGCTGACAGTTCGTGAGACTTGGAAGGAAAGACGCCTTGAAGGGCTCGTATAGGCTCTGTAATTATTTCTGATGTGCTATGCTGTGAAGGTCGAGATGTCGAATGAATGAAATAAAACGGTGTTAGATTGAGATTGCTGGTGGGTTGCTTCTCGGCTCGCACGGTGAAAGAACTACACCCGTGGGAAAGAGGTTTATATGTAGTAGAGGGATGGGCACGCCCTTTGTGCACTGTGTGCATTCACCCAAAGCTTAGACGGACGTCCAATGTGAAAGCTCGTTCAGCGTCCGCAGGGTTGACTTCGTTTCACTCGTACGCAATGAACAACTGCGTAGAATACATGGGTAGACCCCAAGTCAATCTGACGCCTTTCAGCAACGTGTCTGCTTGCCTTGACTTCACCGTACCGGGCTCAACTGTGGCCATTCAGATAAATATGTGCTGAATTTGCTCCCTCAGTCTCCCCCAGTCTCACCGAACAACTACTCGTATCCACCACCAAGCAAAACACCACAGCATGAACGGAGACAAAGAAACCAACGCAGGGTCTTTCAAGGATAGTAAGTCTTCCTATTTCATCACCCTCCATCTCGCACGCTAACGATTTTAGCGAGCATGTGCGATGAGGCCTCCTCTGCTCCTGCATCTTGGAATAGTTTACCAGAAGAGCTGAAACTGGCGACCCTTGGCCATCGACTCCACATTGATGGTACTCTCACGGCCATAACTCATCCCATCCGTGCAAAAATGGCTAGTTATGAGGCTTTGCTCCTCACCAGCAAAGAGATGAATAGACTAGCCAAGATTTCGTGGGGAGAGAACCAATTCCTTCTCGGTTGGCCGAGCGCTGGCCTACAATACCCGCGACCACCCACGTCTCTCGCAGAACAGGTTCGGAACTTAACCATCGAGATCTTCGTGGATGGCCGACTAGGTTGGAACAGGACGAATGAAAACCCCAGATTCCCGTACTCATGGAATGTCCTCCTCGACACCGAAAAGAGCTCCAGACTGCGTCGAACAACATGGAAGGAGCTTAGAGGGAACGGGGATCCGGCCGTCGCCTGGCAGTCAGAGTTTGTCGTCCTGAAAGAGCTCACAGTCGCCTGGCAGTCAGAGTTTCCCGCCCTGAAGGAGCTCACAGTCGAGATTATACTCGCTGGGGATCTAGATGGCTACCACAACGACAGAAACAAGATCGGTAGGATTCACGGCTGCAGGGACAAGGAAAAAATCGAAGAGCACTTCGAAGGCTGTCGTACATATCTCAGCACCCGCAAGCTTACAGTCAAGGTCCGTGGTTTCAAATGCGGAGACTATTCAACCGATGGAGACGCTGGTCCCAACACCAAAGCCTGTCCCAATGGGTGCGCTGAGAGGGTCGCGACATGCTTTGCGGATCTCGTCGAAATCAAGGATTAAATTGACCGTATGGACGAGAAGGACGATGGTGAGGTCCTTTGGGGACGTTTTTATGGAACGGTAGTCTTGGAAAGAGTTTGTCGACTTAGTAAGCTCAGAGCTCTCGAGGGGAATAGGACAGTTGGCTAGATGTTTCCACGGCCGACTTGGTTCATAGGAAGAAGTTTAGACGGTTAACAGAACAGTACGTTCATGCTACTGCTGCACTCTTAGCTTAGTGCACTAGGCAGCGCCCGTCTTACACGGTACATGCTAGCCCTCACTGTCAAATACCACTTTGCTTCTTCCCCGTGTACCTTCATCAACCGCACTTCCAACCTTTCTGACCACTTCTTTGTCGAAAAAGGCAACACCTAGCTCTTGACTTGTGAACCAACTCGCCCGGTCTAGATTCCCGGAGCCTAGGACGAGGACTTCGTCATCTATAATAGTCATCTTGAGATGCGACTGTTGGGGCTCTCCTGCTTCGTTGCCCCTCTTCTTGGGTCCACCGATCGGCTCGAAGTATGATACATGTAGGCGACCGGGCTTGGGAGTCGCCATAGCTGCTTCCTCATCGTTCAAACTGCCACCGTCGTGGGTCAGCTGTTGATAGCGTTTGATGAGCTTCTTGATGCAGCGTGACGTTGTGGTTCCTGCTGTGACCAACTGCTCGAGTATCATGAGACGTTCGGAGGTCAGAATGCGTACGTCGATGCCGCGTGCAAGCGCTCTGAGTATAGCGGACAGGACAGGTGGCGCAGTGACATTTGGCGTCTGAATACGGATGCTTCTCTCAGCCTTCGCGAAGAGTGTGAGTATGAAAACGTTCAGAGGCGTTGGCGGAGCTCGAAGGGTGTCTTGAGCTCCAACGAAACTAAAGCGCGGATTACGACGGTGTGGGCTGGGAAGGAAGACGGTATGTATACTGCGAGCCGATAGTAGTGCAGACGATTTCAGCGCACCGTGAAGCTTTACCGCAGCGCTGTCGGGAACGTCGAGACTAGTCGGAACATCCTCTCGCCGCTCCCAGAAAGTACGATAGAATTTGAGGAACTGTTCGACAACAGGTCCAGTAAGGGTGACGGCACCCTCGAACCATTCTTCCCAGCTGATGTTGCAACTTGGTAACACTGCCGTCTTCCGATCGACGATGATGAACTTGGGATGCATGACACTGAATGGTAATATGAATATAGACTTGATCTCGAGGTCCAGTCCATTGAGCTCAGACGGGTCAGGCAAGCCCAACTTCTTGACCCATGCTGAAGGCGGATACGTCTGTCCTGAAGTGGCCTGCTTGTGAAATAGCTTCTGAAAGACCGAGCTGGAAGAAAAGCAAAGTCGAACTCTGATCTTGTCCGTCCCTCTCCTGACAGCCTTGTCGGAGAGTCTTCTCAGAACCTCGTTCAGTGTTTCTAGAGTTGTCGATCTAGCCCAGAAGCAAGTGACGAGAATAAGCTCACGGCTAGTAGACTCGAGGAGAGGCACTAATGATTCGTAGATTGCAGATCCAGTTCCAGTCATGAAAGTGTCGAGATTAGAGGTGGTGATCAGGGACCGCGGATAGCGGGCATAGTAGCTTGGGTCATCGGTGGCATTGGCCGGCGCCGCAGCATCCAGGGCTGAGATGAAGGGCTCGTTGAAGCTGGATACGACAGGGGATGGTGTTGTCGGTGCCATGGTCATCGTATTCGAGATTCCCGTTCAGAGCAGGGATGCAGCAGTGGTCGAGAGGGAGTGGTAGCGAGATTCGACTGTTGATGGATGACGTCGGGTCGGACCTGTCGCGACTGCCATGAGGTAGACGCGTCAAGACTAGGCCCCATCCGGAAAGCTCGGCAGGGATCATTGGGGAAGCTTCAATCCCCGCCAAAATTTCGGAAGCTCTTCGCAGTAGACAACATCACCAACACCCCCGCGATATCACACGAACGCAGCCTCGACTAGCTTAAAACCATTGGCTGTAACCGAATCGATCGATCATATACTCCACTCCTTCGAGACAGAACGCGCCGTCCGCACAGGCGCATCCTTCACCATGCCAATCTCCATCCTCCCACCCAGCGCACCTCTCCCACCACGGCGCGATGTGCAAGACGAATATGACGACTCTGATGTGGAAATGGAAGACGATGACTTCGCGACTTCCGGCTCAAAATCGATCGTAACGCCCGGCGAACAAATAACCTCAGATCCTCAATGGATGCGCGGCCACGGCACTTACATTCCAAGTCTCCCTCCGTCCTCCACCACGATAATATCGACCGTCGCCGGTACCCTGCACAAGACCAACAAACTGCTTTCCGTACAACCGCTGCGCGCTCGATACCAACCCGAGATTGGCGACTTGGTCGTAGGACGCATAATGACAGTGGGAACCAAGAAGTGGAACGTGGACATCGCAGCACCAATGCACGCAAACCTGCCTTTGTCAAGTATAAATTTGCCCGGTGGAGTGTTGCGCCGCAGAACCACAGTAGACGAACTGAACATTCGGACATTCTTCCAAGAAGGCGATTTACTCGTCGCCGAAGTGCAGAGTCTGCACCAAGACGGCACAGCATCCCTCCACACACGATCGCTCAAATACGGAAAACTGCGGAACGGCTTGTTCACCAGTCTGAGTGGCGCAGGAGGTGGCATACTGAGTCGCAAGGGTGGTGTAGTGAGGAGTAGGCGGCAAGTGTTCACACTGAACACCGCGGCAGGGGAAATCGACATTGTACTCGGCGTCAATGGATACATTTTCATCAGCAAACATATCGCGACGAATGCGGACCCTAAAGAGGTGGGTATCAACAGGCTCGACGAAAGCGTAACCGAGACGCTGTACTCCAGCCAGAACGACGAGATCGAGCCAGCTGTTATGCGAGAAATTACCAGGGTCAGCACATTGATCAGGGGATTAGTAGCATGTGGCGCGAAGGTGGATGAGGACATGATTGTCAAGGTATATGACGGCGCGGTTGAGCTTGAGGCAGAAGAGCAAAGTCTAGGTGGTGTGGAGAGGGGTATTGGCGCCAAAGGTGTCGTAGAAGCGGTGCTTGGACGTATGGAGGTGGAGGCCGCCGGCTGAGGATAGACGAAGTTCGAGGCATCACAAATATCCAGAAGTAACAGACCTGGGCATTTCATGCTGCTCAAGCATCAGATCTATGCGTCCTGACGGGTTGTACCCGCCGAGTCGTTAACGAGCAGCTGCAGCAATCATGACGCTGTAACATGTAGTCACTTGCCAGAAGTGTTCTAACAACAGCACTCACGGAGCGCACACAGATCGCGCACGCCGAACAGAATTGTAAAGATAGTCAGTCATACATTAGTCATTGTGCAGTGAACACATAATACCCCATCTAAAATCGTATATGTAAAACATCGGCCCTGTATAAAGCGAGCGAAAGAAGAAGTCTCAACATAGACAAAACTCCGAAAGTCGGCGGTAGGTACACCGCCAATCACCCTTCCATGACCAGCAGCCCCTCCCTCTCCAACCTCCTCAGACTGTCGATATCACCACCGGCCTCTATAACAGCCTTCATAGCCGCTCGACTAAGCTTCCTGCGCTTATCGGCGGCTTCCTTCTCTCGTCGTGCCTTTGTCTTGCTGGAACCGCTGGGTGCGACACCTGTGAGGATTTTGCGGCTGTCGTCTGGTGTGAAGTTGACGAAGCCGACACCGCCACCGTTCACGCTCGTCTGCCGTGAGGACTGCTGGGAAGAATGGTTGGACTTGCGTCTTGACGATTGGCTAGAGCGATGATGGCTTGATGACTTGGAACGATGAAAGCGGGGTTCGACGCGTGGTGAGGGAGAGCGCGAGACTGGTTGACTGGTGGACGGCACCTGAGGTTGCGCGTAATGGTGTGATGGTCTGTTGTACATGGCACCATAGCTAGCCATATCGAACGAGGCTGAGGCTCTGGGGGTCGAATAGCTATCGTTCATAGCGCCGAACTCGAATGCGGCTGAGTCGTAAGAAATCCCTAGTCCTTCTAATCTCACATTCTGGCTCGTAGATCGCAGATTGCTTTGACCAAAGCTGGTAGAGTATGGCGGCTGAACGGTGGGGTCGTTCTCATTCCACCAACCTGCTGTCTCAAGGCTGTTGCTAGTGTCGCACGAGGCTGAGAAACTAAGATCCAGAGCTGGCGAGGTGTCAGAGCCCCATGTTGTCACGGGTAAGTGGAGAGAGGAAGGCGGGGTCTGCAAGGCTGAGAGAGCCGCACTTGACGTGCTAGAAGAGCAATAGGCGAGTCCCATGTTAGCGTTGAAGCCGCTGTCGGAGTTGCTGGAATTTCCCATTGCTGGCGATGCAGATGGAGTCAATTGGTAGTTCGTATAGTTCGACCTGTCGTTGGGCAGGCTCGAATAATCATTAGTGTAAGCCTGATGGTGATTATGGGCAACACCGCCATTGTTGCGCTCTTGCTGATCCAGATTGGATGAAAGCGGGGGCGAAGCGATACCATGTGACGAGGCTCTCGCGAAAGATTCTGTCGGGCTGTTCGTCTTGCGAGTCCACGCATTCGTGATGGACGATTGGAAATGAGATGATTGCATCATCTTGGCCGAGACTGAAGGATGTGGTCTCTTCGTAGACTTGGTAATGCCGCGATACCTCGGTTGACCGTGAGAGGAAAGAGTCTTTTTGACAGATCGTCCAGAAGGGTGGGGTCGAGATGTAGGAGGCTGAGACGTGGACCTTGAGTGATTTCTCTCCAGCTCAAAGAGATCTTCGAAGCTTAACAACTCGGAGTCGCTACGAGAATCAATGCCGGAAGATGATGTAACATAGAAAGAGGAGGCAGGATCATCAGATCGAAACGAGGTTGCGTTTTGTGCGTACTTTTCGAGAGCCTTGTGCCAAGCAGCCTGTGTTTCCCGATCGAGTATAGGCTCAGGACCAAAGCATTCGCTTCCATTTGACAAAGACGATTCGAAATGATGCGTCGTATTATCTGAAGTGGATTGCTTCGGCGTGCGGTCATTGAAATGATTGAGTAAATCTGTCTCGACATATTGTTCGAATAAGCGGTCCAGGTCGACTGCTTCGACCTCTTTGTCGCTGGTCGGCCGTATTGGCATAGTGTCGGTAGAGTGTTGATGTTATGGCGATGAAATGAAGTAGGTTTGCAGCGTATTTGGTTATGTTGACCGACAATGGATAGGCGAGCGAGTGACGTTGAAGGATGTAGCAGAATTAGTGGCGAGTAAAGGCGATAAGTAACACGGTACTTGTACCTGACTGATAGATACGCTGTGGTGGTTACAGGCCTGCACGAACTACTTCTGTAACGTGCCAATGACGCACCGTAACAAACATGCTAGACAAACCTAGACTAGAGAGATTCAATTTTGCATCCAAATATGGCAAAATACCTTACCGGCCATTTCCTACTCGGTGTACATTCCAGCTATACTTAGCGTAGAAGGTCGAATTGGGTTGACCCGGGGTTGGCATGGGGGGACCAAGCCCCAACCCTTTGGTTTCAGGTAGCTTTGAGGCGTTCGCACCGTCCGTGCCTCACAACCTCTCGAGCCCGCGACTAGGGTAATTGAACATGTCGTAATGATGGTAGGTGCGTGCCCATGCAGCCACATACCAGCCGTTGGGTATTCTCCCTAGGTACGTTGCCCATGCCGCAGGTACCCGTAATACGACAATCGGGTTGTAGGTGACGTTCTTTGTTGTAGTGTCTTTGTGTATACCGAAGCTCGACCTGCATATGAGTGAGAGGTAGCGACCTGAGGGTTGTTTCAGAGGTAGAAGTCGGAGGGGTGCCTGAGCAACTTCAAGAGGGCCACAGCTCAGATTGTTGAGTAGACCACGTGGATTACGAAATCTTCAATGCGACGATACGGCCTCGCCTGTTCAGTTACCGAAAGCCTGGTATCCGGCAAAGACAGATGCCGCAGACAGTTTCGAATCGTCGATTTCGAAGTAGGTCTCTAGATTCTGAGAAGTGGATCGATGGCCAAAAACAGATGCAGGAACGGGGATTTCCAATCGGCCAGAATGTAGCTAGTGCAGGAACCAGGGCCGTGGATCAAAGCCAGTTGAGCGTAACAACGTGAGATCTGCAGCACGGTCAATCTGCCCAGGTGATGTGCACTCCGGGGCTTGCACGTTGGGGGAGCCGCAAGGACTCAGTATGGGTGGACCTCCAACTTCACGAGGTTTAGAAACAATTTGAAACTGTATCATAGGATCGGGATGATAGTGTTTCGATGTGCGACAAGACCGCCAGGCCTCGCTTTTGTTCTTACCAAATTGTGACGGCATTGTCTTCAGTCTCATGTGTGTGGTTTGATCCTGGACATATGGCCAATGCAGAGACTCGTCATCCTAATTCAAAATGAACTGCGCTTTTTGAGTAACTGACCGGCGTCGGTTGCCAAGAACCTGATGGTGGAGGTGATGCCAGAAATTACGCGTTCACGATGGCAGCGTGGTGTTGAGGCTTGCCCAGGCGCGCACGGGCAGTTAGCGCGTCGTACGAACAGCTGTGGGTCAGCCCCGGACATGGGCAGCTCGCGAGTCTCTGGAGTGACGACTGTACCAGCACAGCACCGACGAGATCGACGCTCCTATTGTCGTGTTTGCTGTCGCAATTCTCTTGTCTAATTTCGCACCCTACACCAGTGCCATGGATCCCGACGCGCCCATGGCCAATGAGCCGGAGCCAGGAGTCTTCCGTTGGATCATGGGCTTCCTTCTGGTCGGCGCATGCTGGGGGCTTACAACACCGTTCATGCGCAAAGCTGCCATGTGAGTCTCAAGCTCCGTTATGGGCTCTGTTCTGTCTATTTCGGCCTGTCCAGAACGCGTTCAGAGCTAATTCGCATTCTAGGAACTACACGCCGCCCCAACGCCCCGCCCTCACCGATCCAAACAACTCCTGGCTGAAGAAGAAAGTCTTGGGCGTACTCTACGCCGTAATTGGCGTCTTGAGCAGGCCAGCGTATGCGATACCGCTATTACTGAACGTCACCGGCAGTGTGTGGTTCTTCATATTGATAGGCAAGGCGGAATTGAGTCTCACGGTCCCAATCACCAACTCACTCGCCTTCCTCTTCACCGTGTTGGGAGAGTGGTGGGCAGAGAAGAAGGTCATCAGTCGAGGTACGTTGTCTAATCGTGTATGTACGAGGGATATGGGCTAACACCAAACAGACACCTGGATAGGCATGGCCTTTGTACTCGGCGGGATCGGATTATGCGTCCAGAGCAAATCTTGAACAATCTACCTAGAATTCTACATGGTCGTTACCAGTCCCTCGCGAGCCTGTTGTTCGTATCCGTCCCGTTCGCTGCTGTTACTCCCTTGGACAATCTCGAAAACCCTTGTTCTGGTGGCTGCAACCAGTTCCTCTCGTCGTACTTCTCCTCGCCCTCAATGACGTGGAACGTGTAGATGTTGCGGCTCTTGCTGCTCGTATTCTTTTCCGACTTGTGGAGTATGTTACCATGGATGAGCACTAGAGTCCCGGCCTTGACCTCACCCATGTCGTATCTTTCCTCCTTCTCGATCATCTCGTACTCCTTCTCGCCGTTTGTTTCCTGCTTCAAGCTTTTTGGAAATCTGGCGCCCTCATTGTCGATGAAGCCCGTGCCGTTGCCTGTTCTTACAAACCTCTTCTCAATGGCAGCACGCTTATGACTCCCAGCAGCGAAGCTCAGACATCCATTCTCCTGTGTCGCATCCTCGAGCGCATACCACCATCCAACCGCGCTTGGCGGATCCGTGTACAAAAAGGTGCTATCTTGGTGTGGTGGCACTGCGCCGCCTATCTCTGGCTGTTTGCAGATGACCATGGATTGCAGGACACGAGGGTCGCGGAAGCCGAGGGAGGAAGCGATGGCGGCATTGCGGGCGGACAGGGACATGCTGCGGAAGGAGGGTGAAAGCTCGTGGAGGTAGTGCCCGATCTTGTTGATGGCGCGGTGTTTGGGTTTTGTCAGCGAGCCAGACTTGTCGAAGGCGTCTGCGCGGATGTCAGTGCATTGTCTTGAGTTTCCGAACGCGCTACGTACCCTCTTCAAAGAAGAACCGCACCTTATCGCCGGATTCTAAGAAGTAGCTGTCTCCAACGTGATCGGCGCCGTCGTCGCCACCAGTTGAGAACTTAGTCATGGGATGGTCGTCAAGTGAGAAGTCGTTGAGCATCTTGTTTGTGTCTTCCACCAACTGCTTGACCGTTTCTTGCGACAGAGCATCCGGTATCAGTAGGTAGCCGTTCTCATTGAAGAAAGCGAGCTGCTCGGGCGTGAGCCCTTCGGCGGATTGCGCAGTCATGGCCGGATGAAGGATTGGGAATACGTATACACTGTGGTATGAAGGATTTTGCAACGACAGCTATGTACAAGTGACTGTTTCCCAGCTATCGCATGCAGGCCGTGGGTAAGCGTCGGAGTTGGCCGTAGCCTGGCGCGATGCCATGTGCTGCCCCGCTATCGTCCCGCGTTATCGGGCTTAATTCCGCTCAGAACCAAGCCAGCCAGCCTCATCCCAAACGCGTCGCGATGTGAGCAGTCCTCGACCCATCCATCGCCCCCATCCGCGCCCCCATCAACGATATCCACCACTAGCCATCAAGATCCGAGCATCTGGTCACAGGTCCTCCAACCCGCAGTGCCACGAAACGATAGCTCGTCCTTCTGGCTCATCCCCAGCAATAAAGAGGCACGACCGGGCCCTGGCTTCAATACTACGCGACTTATAACCACGCTAACGACGACTGTGGTCACATCGCAATCCCGAAAGACAGGAGACGACCACACCGAGATGCAGGGAGATGAAATGTCGGGTCGTGTAACTCCAGAATAGCTCACCCAGGCAGCAACGACGCCATGACCTCGACCCACGAAGGCTGTCACCCTTGCGTTTGCGGCTCTTACGACTCTGCACGTGCACACTTCCCACACCGAGGAGACGACTGATGGCTGAAACAACACGTGGAGGCTCAGCGGGCTCGCATCCCTCCGCCCGTAGCTGGCCCTTCACCTAGCCATGCATGACATAGGGCTGATGTGTAGCGGGGAACGCCCTCAGGTCCGGAGACAAACAACCTCATCGTATCCCGACTGCATGTACCTGGCTGCATGAAACAACAGGGTCTCGGGTATATGGAAGTCATGGCTCCGAGGTCTCACCGTCTCTACTAATGTTGTCGAACACAACTCGAGGGATGCGATGAACAAGGGCCTGCTGGAATACGCTACTTTCTCCTCCATGTGCCCTGCGGAATCATGTCTCCTCCTCAAATCGGGTGTCCAGACTTCCAAGGTTCGCTTCCTCAGTCACGTTTACACGACAGCCTGGGCGTCAACACTCAAGATTGGTCAAGGCTGTCGCGGCTGATGGCAAAATGGGAAATACCGCTCAAATCGACTTGCGAATAAAGGTAGCTCCTTCAGTTACGTTGATTGGCTAGCGCACCTGACCAACCCTTGTTGTTGCTATAAACGCAACAAAGAACCTTGACTCGCGCGAGTAGCACGCCAGACTCTCCTACAGTTACCTCGAAACCATGAAAGGAATAATCGTGCTGCCTGCTGGGAGCTATGTTTCGTCTCCAAAAGGATGAGCACCTGCCAACTGAGGATACATTAGCCAGTCTTTGTCAGATCAATGACGTCCATGTCTCCGACCTACAGGACAACGATCGAAATAAGCACTCCATAATATTGGATCCTGTCCGTCCGACGGCACGGCAGCTTTCATGCATCATATGTATAGCGTCATGGCAGGGCTGCTTATCACACGACGTCTTTTGAGAGCTCAGGTACAAGGAAAGGGTTTCATTGCTCCATCTATATGATCATACCATCCGAAACCCACGCCCCCAGAAAGTTGCCCGACAAGAACATCGCCTGTCGTCAAGTTCCCATCCGTTTCCTTACACTGTACCTCAACACCCCGGATGATGCAGTACTAAACATTGCGAGGGACGAATGTCATGACGACTTTTGCAAATGGCTTGATGAGCAGAAGCATCGAGCACCTCTCCAAAACGGTCAATGAGCATACATGATGATGATTCACGGCCTTCTGGGCTGGTGAGCTGTTGCCTTATTCCCTTCA